TTTGGGGGGGGGGGGGGGAGGGAGGGAGGGGGGCAGGGTTGCGCACTCCGGTGGATCAAAGCAAGTTCAATATAACGCGATTTCACCTATAACATGGTAAGATTTTTTGGCTCCCGAGGACAGCGTTATATCGAGGTAGAGGTGTATTTACTAGAGGGAGATTCTGCCACCAGAACTCTCAGCTACTGGTATCTTTCTCCATAAGTAGCCTCAATGAAATGAATGGGGCTATTCATAGGGGTTGGGAATAGCTCATTGGGAAGGTGGCAGAATCAGATCCTACTGGCTAACAGGTGTATCTTGTATTGTGTATTTGCTCTCTGAGCTGATGTAGGGGGCTATCCAACTATCTCAAGTACTGATGCGATAAAGTCCAGGTGCTTACCAATACATCTTCAGATTACACCAATGGGCACATTTTGGAGATGAAAAATGGGGCAGTTAAATGTGATCTGTCCCACCGCCCATCTTCATGACCAGTCCCCTATGTCAGATTAAGGCTTTGTATCAGGCCACTGCACTGCTTTCTTGGTCAGTGACTGGGCTCTGTCTACACACAATACCGGGGCAAGCTAATGTGCTTTGTTCTTTTGCTCCTGGAGATCAAGATTTTCAAAACTGGGGTGTCTAAATTTAGGGGCTCAGGAGCCTTGAAAGGCATCTTTGATATCTGACTTGATTTTCAGAAGTGCTGAGCAAAGCTGGGGGGAAAAAAAAAGGAATCTTTCTGCAAAAATTTTTGGATTGGGAGGGGGAGGGAGAGAATTCATCCCACTTTGGAATGAACTGTCAAAAATGTGAAAACTTTTCTCGGGAACAAATTTAAAGAAAAATTCCATTTCAGGAGAACTGAAACAAAATGTTTCTGGCTTCCTGACCGCCCTCACTTGGGAAATCTCAGCCCAGCTGCTGGAGAATCACTGAGCCTCCCTACCGGCCCCCAGCTCTGGGAGCTGGAGAAATGCTGCTCATCCCCAGAACTTTGGGGGGTAGGGGGGAGGAGAGAGAGAGAGAAACCTGCCTGTGTTTTAATGAAAGTCTGTAATAGATTTGGTGAAATATTTCATACCACCAACTTCGCATTTGCCAGCAGAATAAGTTCAGTTGGAAAATCTCTAACAATCTCTAGCGCTGAACACCCAGCAATTGCCATGGAAATGAATGGGAGTTGTTGGGTGTCCGGCACTGGTGAAAATCAGGCCTATCTTATTATACCTAACCAGAGGCTTAAGAGCTTAACTTGAAATGGTGACCCCCGCTGAAGTCAATGGGAGTTTTTCCATGGACTTCAATGGGATCAGGATTTCATCCCCATTTTGCACATCTCAACTAGAGAAATATCCTCTCGGAGGAGCTGAACTCACTGATGAAGATGGCGAAGTGATTGTTCCGGGAGGCTTTCACTGAGGGGCTGTCCACCACGTGCAGAGTGTACCGAGGTTTCCCGGCATCTGCATCACACAGATCCAGAGAGACGTGGCTCGCGCTGGGGTTTTTATTCAGCTGGCTGCGCAGCAGAGCATACAACTGCCTCTCCTTTACTGCCTCGACCAGCTGCTCAGCACTCTCCACCCGCACAGGCTTGTCCTGCTCCTCAGTGCAGATCTCAAGGATCTGAAGAACCGAACCTGGGATCTTCTTGAACTTGGTCATGACATAGACAAAAACGGGCAGAACAAACTGCTGCTTGGCCGCTCTGTCCTCACTGCCCGAGACCTGGTGAACGCGCACCATCCAGCCTTCCTGGGAGAAGTAGCCCACCGCCTTCTTCACCACATGGGCCTGGGCCAAGGAGATACACAGGTAGCGGCCACCAACCTGCAGCACCCGGCTAATCTCAGCAAACATCCTGTCCACCCTTTCGAGGGTGGCCTCCTCTTCATCAACCAGAATAGCATCTAGGGTGCCCTTGTCCAATACCACCTGGAACTGGGCGTCCTGGAAATCCATCTGCAGCATGTCCATCCGCAGGTAGCTCATCTTCGGCCTCCTGTGGGCATTCCGCTCCCTCATCTGATTTATCACAACCTCGCTGATGTCTACGTTCACAATGTCCTGGTAGCCCACGTCATACATCTGCTCGCTCAGTTCGGAGTTGCCGCAACCCACTACAAGAACCTGAGAAATTTAAAAAGATAATAGTTTCCCTATGGATACACAGCACAGTCCTGTTTATCCCAACGATCCCAAACACACATACACACACCATGGAGATCAGCAAACAATGGATTCTCTGGGAGACAAATCCACCATGAATGCTCACTAACCAACACTCGGGGATCTTGCAATAAATGTACTACAAAGGGATTCACCACATGCAAAGGAGGCATTCGACATGTACCTGTTAAACACACACATGCAGGAATCCCTTCCCCACCACTGCACTATAGCTGCACCGGGGTGGAAGACACCATCTAATGACTAGTGCACAACAACCAGTGAACTTGAGTGGATGTAACCTGAACTGCACATGGAATTCAGGGAAACAGGATGTGATTATCTGAGCTAGATTTTAGCCAGAATAAAGGGAGCCATACCCCATCTCTTCTAAGAAGTGCCATGGGATCATTTATGACCACAAGTGGTCATGATCTTGGTTTTATCTACTCGTCACCATCTCCCAACACCAGGCTGGGCCATTAGCTCAGCACTAGGCAAAACAAACAACTTATGGGGAGATACTGGCCTGGATAAGCTGAGGATCCATGGGATTGGCTGACAAGCTGCCTCCATACTTGTAGATCAGGGGCGGGTAAACTTTTTGGCCTGAGGGCTGCATCCAGTTTCAGAAATTGTATGGAGGGCCGGTTAGGCGAGGCTGTGCCTCCCTAAACAGGCAAGCGTGGCCCGGCCCCACCCCGTATCTGACCCCACTCCCCCGTTTCTTGCACCGATGGCTCCCCGGGACTCCTGCCCCATCAACCCCCCCCGTTCCCTGACGGCCCCCCTGGACCCCTGCCCCATCCACACACCCCTGCTCCCTGTCCCCTGACAGCCCCCGGACCCCCCACCCCTAACGGACCCCCCTCCGCCCCATCCAACC